AAACGCCTATCCACTTACACCAACCGAAGAGGAAGCTTCGTGAGCATGAACATGAAGTATCTGAATCAGAGGGGTCGCCTTGTATGATACATCAGGTGCGACTAGCGGGTCCTCATCCAAGGTCGAGAAGAGCTGAGAAGAGTGCAGTCCTCGAGGTAGACATCCTCGAGCAGTGGAAGCAAAACAACCCAGCACCCTTATCCACTCAATGGCCCGAGCCACCGTGGCCTTGGCTGAAACAGCGTCCACGGAATTGGAAATTAGACGTGGAAGAGGTGTCAGAGGACGAACGTAGAGTCAGCTGGAGAAGGCACTGGAACAATTTCTTCGTGAAGCACCACACCATCCCTCTAGATGAGGGTCGAGACAAAGGTAAGCCTTCTACAATTAAAGGCTATACCATTTGTCCATCAACCTGGAGACATCCGTCGCCACACGCGAGCCCATGATCTACGAGGCAACCCATCTTGTGCCTAGTCGTGATGAATCGAGAGATAGAGCGAGCCCAAACATCTAGCTGATATGGATTGGAGAGTTATAAAACGACCCGGACATTGCGGACGGGAGAAGGTGACTTTCGTAGATTTGACGAAGTGTGGGCATTTCCGTTCTGAGGACGACGTTGTGGGAGGAGTTACTTAGTATCGTCTTGCTGCTATTGCTAGTCGGTAAGCTCAGGAACGAGGTGGCTCAGTTGCCGCCGACGCTATTCGTTTGTCTCGCTCGTCTCTTTTGGTTAGTTAGCTGATCATTTATAGCGTTGTGAGGATACACCTTGAACATCATACAGCGATGTGCAGTTGGAAGGGTTATGATATACCTGATGTGATGTAGCCGGCACGCCTCAGCAAGTCTGTCAGACGAACCTCGATTTAGATGCCCGATCGATCGCAATCGCGTTCATGTCGATTGAGAAGTGGGGATTGAGCATGGAGATGTGATGTAACCGCGGGAAGATCACCGCCTACGATGGCTGCATGCATAGCAGATCTTATATGCAGTGCTTTACATCAAAGTAATGCTGTGTGGCGCACGTCTAAGCTAATAGACGGCATGTAGTACCGTATCATGCGAGCTGAACGTGTAGTGGCTAGGGGAGCTGAGTGGTACAAATGTGTAGAAGAGCCGATCCAGCGAGATCCGCGGACTAGATGCCGACAGATAGAGTAATGAAAAAGAACTAAGATTGGGACTAAGAGGCTGCGAGGAGCGAGGTCGTCCGTTCAACACGAGGATTTTAGACTTCGGTGAGGCCGTGAATCCACACTCGCCAGCAACCAGTATCTTAACATAGAGCATCCAACAAAGCCCCTGGATCCAAGTACTGCATCTTTCCCTGCTTATCGTGCAGTGCCCCACTTCTGGAACCTCTCCGCTGGGTATTCGACTCGAACACAGTTAACAATATGAAATGAACCTCGTTTGTGACCGTGAAGATGAGTAATGAATCGTCATAAAGCTCTGGGCCCTGGGGGGACTGCTAGAGTGCTTAGCTTTGGGAACGGAAGCTTTCGACATGACGCTCGAGATGGTGTTACGAGTTGCAGCTCAAGCCCAGCGACGGAAACGCTTATAGCCCATTAAGCACAATCGCTGCGGTTCTCTCCCACGTGCGACGATGGGATTGGGCGCGAATTCCTCGGCAGTGAAACACCGATATTAGTGAAAGACCAATAGAGCCATGCGTCGGTCATTGCAGCATCCCTAGACGAGGGTAGCCTCGGAAGGCATGCATCTCACCATGTCAGAATTTGCTTGTTCATACCCAGTTGGATGTTAGTGAGGAAGCTAACATGCCAGTGTGCTGGTAAGCAGAGTGCTATCGGGACCAACCGACAGTCCAGAAGACGGGTTTCGCATGGCACGCTAGCGGAGACAGTAACTCCGTGCATGAAACCCCAGCTGACGGGGTCCTGGGCTAGATGCTTCCGGCGTGGGGTGCGGTACAATGTTCAGTTCTCACGTGTTGCACGTATAAGGTGAAGGCGGATGAAGATGATGAGGTAGATCGGCGACAGAAGCGTTTGATGTCACTGCCAATGCTGATGGAGCATCTGGTGAACACGCCACAGAATCATAGCTATGCACACAAGCATACCAAGAGCGCGCTGAGCATGAAGAAGCTTCGATCCTCCAGCCGTGATTCGGGGCGATGTTGGGAGAGATGTTCTGGCCGTGCTCATCTTAGCGTCTTGGCGGTGCACGTGGGCTACATGATTGGGTTGAACCTCTTCTCCCCGAGTTCCCCCAAGACGCACTTTCACCACACGAGATGTGCGACAGGGATAACTGTCAAGACCCGTCAAGCCCTTGTGGCGGCCTGGGCTGGCAAAGGCGCATTCCTACGCGTGTGTCTGCCTGTTATAGCGGAAAGGCCGAAGTGAATATTGCAAATCTATGGGCGTGCAAGAATGCGGTGCTCCCATTGGGTCCTGGAGCGGCCTGTTTGGTATGCAAGCATGATGCTCAGCCTTGGGAGTAAGCTTGATAGTAGGTATATAGCTTGGCCCTGTACCCTTTACCACTGACCTCCAGCTCGCACAGCCGTCATTTCCGGACTCAAGCCTCGTCTAATCTCTTGACACGTCTCGGCGAAGCTTCGCAATGGCTCACAAGACAGCTGGCGGTAACGCCGCTTTCCACAACTTCAACAACGACTTTGCGGTAGGATGACACGGATTAGACTTCCAAAATCATATATACTGACTAGTCCCAGCACATTGAGGATCCTAATGAGCGACGCCGGCTTGCACTCGCTGAGATCGACAAGGCGCCATTTGGCTGGTACCATGTACGCGCCATTCTTGTCGCCGGTACTGGTTTCTTCACGGACAGTTATGACATCTTCTGCGTATCTCTCTTGACGATTATGCTGGGTATTGTCTACAAGCACGACAACAAGGGTGTTTTGTACACCCAACAAGACACAGCTATCAAGCTTGCGACCTCAGCTGGTACTGTTCTTGGCCAAGTCGGTTTCGGTACACTCGCCGACATCGTTGGCCGTAAGAAGATGTACGGTCTTGAGCTGATTCTCATCATTGTCGCCACGCTCGCTCAGTCCCTCACGGGTCCTGGTCCCGGAACTTCAATCGTTGGTCTGATCATCTTCTGGCGTGTGTTGATGGGAATTGGTGAGTCCATTCTCTGGGAATCCGCATGGAAGTTTTACTGATGACTGTCAGGTATCGGTGGTGATTACCCGCTCTCCTCCATTATCACCTCCGAGTTCGCCACTACCAAGTGGCGTGGTGCCATGATGGGTGCCGTCTTTGCTATGCAAGGTTTCGGTCAGCTCGGTGGTGCTCTTGTCATGCTTTGCCTTGTCGCTGGTTTTAAGGACACCCTTAAGGGAGTTACTGGCTACGCGGACTGTGACGGTCAATGCGCCGTAGCTGTCGACAAGATGTGGCGCGCTCTCATCGGAATTGGCATCGTCCCAGCTTGTATCGCGCTCTACTACCGCCTCACCATTCCCGAGACGCCTCGCTACACTTTCGATGTCGCCCGTGACGTTGAGAAGGCCAACGAAGACACAAAGCAGTACCTTTCTGGTAAGCACGGCAACGGTAACCCTGATGCGATCACCCAAGCTGCTCAGCTACAAACTACTGCTCAGCTCGAAGTTCCTAAGGCATCTTTCAAGGACTTCTTTAGGTTCTACGGCAAGCTCCGCAACGGCAAGATTCTGTTCGGTACTGCCATGTCGTGGCTCCTGCTCGATGTCGCGTTCTACGGATTGGGTCTGAACTCGTCAACTGTGCTCCAGGCTATTGGCTACGCTAGCGGTACAACCCTCTACGAGAAGCTGTACAACCTTGCTGCTGGTAACGCTATTCTGGTCTGCGCTGGCGCTATCCCTGGATACTGGCTGGCGGTCGCAACCATTGATACCGTCGGACGCAAGACCCTGCAACTGGCTGGCTTCACTATCCTCACCATCCTCTTTATTGTATGGGGTTTCGCCTACAAGCATCTCAGCCACCACGCCATGTTGGCCATCTATGTTCTGATTCAACTCTTCTTCAACTGGGGTCCTAACACTACCACCTTCATCGTACCCGGAGAGTGCTTCCCCACCCGCTACCGTTCGACTTCTCACGGCATTTCCGCTGGTTCAGGAAAGATTGGCTCCATTATCGCTCAAGGTGCTATCGCTCCCCTTCGAACCCGAGGCCATGTTACCAAGGAGAATGCCAACCCTTGGTTGAACCATGTCATGCAGATCTTCTCTGCCTTCATGTTCGCTGGTATCTTCACTACTCTCCTCATTCCGGAGACCAAGCGCAGAACTCTAGAAGACCTTGCGCAAGATTGGGATATGGGCGATGAGTCCATCACTGGTGCGGAGCATGCCGTACGAAAGGACAATCGCAGCAGCGATGAGGCTGGAACCACTGAGCTCAAGGCTTAGTTGAGTTTGTCAATTCTCATGTCACTCTTTCTTTTCATCCAGGCTTCTGCCTATATACCCGTTTTTTTGTAGCATAAGTACCTAGACTGTAATTCCATTCACTCAAGCTTCATCCAAAGGTGCTACTTTATTGTTATGTGTATGTTGACTATCTGTCTGCGTACAGATTTACGTGCAAAGAACACTTGATGACGTGATTGAGCGTGGTTTGGCCACGCACCACTCCGGACCGAGCTTGGATGCTGTATTCATTTTCTTATCAGCCTTGACACACAGATGAGTATGTGATGCCATAGTTTGGTTGTCCTCCACTCCATCCACTAATAGTTCGATAGCGCATGACAGACGAGCCACTTACATCAGCCACAAGTCTAAGCAGCCATATGTCAACCAAGGTTTCATCTTCGGGTATTTTTGATAGTAATAATCGTCCTTGTCTACATTCTCTGCGTCCGGCCTCATTCACTTCATCCATTCATTTCAGAATGTCAAAGTCTTCTCGTAAGCTTCAGTTCCACTCACCATACACGTTTACATCGTCATCTCATTAGCTCTGGACTATCTCGAGCTAGAAGACTCCGCTTTGATGGCTTTTGAAGAACTAGGTGGAGGCTTTGATGTGCAACACGTCTCATCGAAAACCTCGAGCTCTACATCTACTCCTGTACGAAAACGTCCCCGCCGCCGGGTAGAGGTTACGTATCTCCTCCGCCTCGAACAACCTTTGCCCACACCTCGAGACGTAGCCAACGCTCTCGGCCTTTCTTTTGTACCACAGCTCGAACTTGGAACAACGGAAGACGGTGCAGCGAGCTTTTGTCGGCTCTCCCAATCACGCATCGACGCCCTTGATTCATAGGCCACGAAGCACGACTTACACCGAGGGTTCACCAAAGTTCGAATTGGTCTTGCGCACAAAGCTCTCAGGGACCTGCCATTGCTTGGTTATGATCCTACACTTCCTCATCACCGTCCCTATACCTCAGTCAGTCAGGATAAATGCCATGTTCCCGAGTACCCTGTTCATTACTTCTTCTACAGTACACTAGCTAGTTCGGCGCAGCTCGAACGACTGTTTCATCTACCTACCTCTAAAATACCCCCCTTGCAACCCGCGACTTTGTTCGATGGACGTATCCAAATTTGGGCAGGCAAATATCGAGCATTGATAGACGAGCCAGGGGCCACAGTGGGTGATCATGCATACATTTGCGGATCGAGCGATCAGGAAGATGCATTAAGAACATATGAGGGTGATAGTTACGAAGTTGTAGCTGCAAGACTGATGACAAATGGAGAGGAGTTGATGGGTAGAACCTTTCGATTTGCAGGTTTTGACGACGAATTGACTGAGTAGAGACTAGTATACCTAATTCCATACCTTCGCCCAACACCTTAGATCTATCTTCTGAAATTCTCACGTTTCCCGCAGAAAATCATGCCTGATCAAGCGACTGCGCCAAACATGTAGCGAAATACCTGCCTCTCAATCTTTGCAACTCCTCGTGGGTACCCATCTCAGCGATCGTGCCATCTTCCATGACGAAGATGATATCTGCGTGCCGGATCGTGCTTCTATATATGATGTCAGTGAGCCGTTATCTCAGTATCGGGTTAGAAGATACTCACAGCCGATGCGCAACAGCAATGGTTGTCCTTGTCATCGCAGCCTCGTCCAGTGCCTTCTGAACGACTCTTTCGCTCTGCGTGTCCAGTGCTGACGTTGCTTCATCCAACAACAACAGCCGTGGCTGGCGAATCAGGGCTCTAGCAATTGCGATACGCTGCCTTTGCCCACCAGAAAATTGCAGGCCCTTGGACCCACAAGGGGTTTGGAGACCTTCAGGCAGTGAAGCGACAAACTCCAGAACATTAGCTTGACGACAGGCTTCCTGGATTTCTGCATCAGAAGGTTCATGCTGAAGACCGAGGGCGATATTGTCGCGTACTGAACCCAGGTAAAGTGGTGGCTCCTGTTGGACAAGCGACATGTATCGCCGATAAAGCTGGGGAGACATGAGTGATATGTCTTGGTCGTCTAACGTGATACGTCCAGATATCGGGTCATAGAATCGAAGCAGTAAAGAAACAACCGTACTTTTGCCACAGCCTGAGGGGCCAACGAAGGCGGCAAACAAGCCAGGCTTAATCCTCATCGAGATGCCCCTCAATACCCTGGATGCGTCGCGTTGCTTGTATCTGAACTCAACGTCTTCCATGGCAATGGCTCCGTCCGACGATGGCCCTTTGCCGTCAGTTTCGTCTGACTCGCGGATGTTAGGCTTAACAGTCCGGAGCCACAAGATGTAATTCGCGGCCCCTTCCGCCTTCGTGATGGAGGTGCTGTACATGAAGAATTGCGCTACACCCTGTCCACCAAAGACAATGGCTATGAAGATGACAAAGAATTGCGAGGTGTTGTACTCGCCGCTCGCGATCAGCCGTGATCCGTACCAGAAGCCTAGAGCCATGACTAGGAAGTCGGCAGATTGAGAAAGCGCGTACGGGAGGAGCGCGAATGTCAGGCTCCTAATGACCTTTTTTGTGATAGCCTGGAGTGTATCGCTGTATTGGCGCATGATCGAGGTCTCGAGAGTCAGCATGCTGACCGTTCGAATGGATGTGACAGCCTCTGTCGCCAGTCCGGCACTGCCTGAGAATTGTTCTTCTGTAGCAGCCTCAAGCTTTTGATCTATTCGTATGCGATAGTAGCCGGCAGCCACAATGATGGTCAGTCCACCGAACACCAGGGTGAGCCCCAGCTTCCAACCATAAGCTATACCTAGCGCACTGCTTGCTGTAATGTTGACCAGAATATTGAACATAAGCCCTAAATTCGCAGACATCAATTCTTGTAGCGCTGTAGGCGCAGACGACAACTTTGAGGTCAATGCGCCGGACGAGTTTTCCGGACGGTCAAAGAATTCCTGATCGAAGCTGATGACGCGCTCAATCATTTCTTTGCGATATCTGTGAGTTAAAGTCTGTCCAATGCTGTTGCATGCAAGGCCAATTGCGAAATATGCGAAGAGATTGGCAAGAGCTAGCACGAAAAACATGAGCGCCCAAAAGTTGGCTTGCTCTTGTGCTTCAGACCCTTGCAGCGTGAAGACTCGGACGAGACGGGAGAAGATGATAGCTTGCGCTGGGTACGTACCACCGCCGATGATTCCACCAAGGATCGTGGCGGCGTACCAGTAGTAGAGATCGAAATTCTCTTTCAGCATGATCCAGATGCATTTGGTAAGAGAGTAGCCCAGGGTTCCAGCAGCAAGGTGCTCGACTTCGCGCTCAAGCTCTGTCGTGTTGTAATGCGATTGTGTTCGTTGCAAAGCAGCTTTGCGGTCCAGGCTATCTTCGACCTTCTCCGTGTCTAGCATTTCTCTTTGAATATCCTCGTCGTTTGCCTTTGTACCAAGATCTTGCGCGCGTACCATTGCCGCATAGAGACCATCGCTTTCGATGAGTTCATGGTGTGTGCCCTGCTCGTAGATTTGACCATCTTTCATGACGACAATATTGTCTGCCGCCATCACAGTGGCAAGCTTGTGAGCAATAATCAACGTGGTCTTGTTGATCGAAACGCGATTGAGTGCGCTCTGCACAACCTTTTCAGCGCGAGGGTCCAAGGCACTGGTTGCTTCGTCAAACAAGAGGATTCTTGGATTGGAAATAATACTTCGAGCAATAGCAATACGCTGTCGCTGACCGCCGCTAAGCATGCTTGCTCGCTCTCCGACTTGGGTATGGTAGCCTTGCGGTAGTGCTTCGATGAAGTCATGTGCATTGCTGTTCTTACACGCTTCTTGTACGAGTTCCATCTGCCTTTCCGCTGGTAGATCTTTTTGGTCTCCTATCAGGCCTTTGACGATGTTCTCAAAGATTGTGCCTTGAAACAAGGTCGGCTCCTGCTGAATGAGGCGGATGTTGGACCGCAACCACTTTGTGTTGTATTCGGAAATATCTCGACCATCAAGCAAGATCTGGCCAGAAGTAGGCTTGTACCACCGCTCGAGTAGACCGACTAAGGTCGATTTACCGCACCCACTGGGTCCGACCAAGGCCGTTGTTTTTCCAGCGGGAATCGAGAGGCTGAGACCTCGCAGAACTTGGGCGCTCGGTCGGGTAGGGTACACAAAACGCAAATCGTTGACAATGATTTCTCCGTTACAGCTGGGTGGCTGCATACCTTCGGTCGAGAGAGGATCAAGGGATGACGGACTGTCGATGATAAGGAATAATTCGCCCGCTGCTGAGGAAGCGTTGGTAAAGGCTTGGAATTGTGGGAAGATGAGTAATGTTGCAGTAGCACCGAGCACAACACTCAGGACGACGGTGAACACTGTGCCCACATCACCAATCTCCCCACTTTGAAACATGCGAAACCCTTGCCAGAAGGCCAGCGAAGTACCTGACATGACCAGGAAGGTTTGACCGGAGAAGAGTACACCGTAGATGACGGATTTTTTGTTACCTTCCTTGTGCGCCGTTTGCAGGTAGGTCTCGTAACCGTCGATAATCTTCTGGTGGGCTCCGAAGGCGTGAATAGTTCGGATCGAGCTGATCGCGTCCTGCGCCAGAGTACCAGCTTGCGAGTAGATTTTGGTCTGTGCAGCAATTGTTACTTGAAGGCGTCAGATCGAAAGAGACATGGGTACTCACCACTCTAGCTTCGATAGGCGCATCTAGGCCTATGCATACCCCAGTGATCAAGAAGATGGCAGGTATTATGCTCATCACTATCAGAGCGAGCTTCCATTGAACAGCAAGTGCTACGATGAAACCAGAGAAAAAGAGTGAGATGCCTTGGACGCAGGTAAACAGCTTTTCCGCTATGCCTTGATTAATCCTGTTGCCATCTAGGCCGCGCTGTCAGCAATAATACCACGACTTTAATATTGAGAATCTTACTTGTAGTCACCTGAGTTGCGGCAGATCCACTGTCGCCCTTGTCGAAATGCGCTACGTCTTGACGGAGCAACTTGTCCAGGAAGTCTTCCCGCAAAGCGCACGTCGTCCTGGCTGCGGCGATGCATATGCACAGAGTACCTAGGTAGCCAATAACGAAACGGGCAACGAATATGTATATAAAGTAGAGCACCAAGGTGTTGATGTTGCTAGTAAAAGTAGAACTGTCCTGACCAGTTGCTTGTTGATTGAATTCTGCTGTCGATTGGCCAAAGACAAGAGTCATCAAAGGGAGGGCAGCACCGACAACGACAGCACCGGTGAGCCCAAGAGAATAAAGTGCACGATCCGCAGTACTGGCATATGTGAAGATGCGCTGTGAGAATAGACAAATCAGCTTGCACCCCTCAAATTCAACCTGATCTCTGACTTACGAAGTAGTCTTTCAGACTTCCCTCTTTGTCTTCTTCTGTCTTTTTTTCCTCTGAGTCCCAGTTAGATTCTTTGTCGTCAACAGCAGCAGCCTTTTCTGCATCGATCTTGTCTGGTATGTCGATCGCAGCCAACGGTCTTTCTGTTGTCCCCTCCATGGTGTCAGAGCTATGGCGAGTTATTGAGGAAGCGTTCTGGTAGTCCACCATCGTTGGCGATGCATGAGCGACGTATGTGCATCGTTGTAATAGAGAGCGCGTGTTATTTGATGGATGCGATAGGCATGCACAACGCGTCTATGGCTTCACGTGCGGCTCGCGAGACGGACGTCTAGGATCCCGGTGTGCGGTACCAAGGCGGTGCAGCCACCCGTTAGCATAACAGAACGTCATGACATCTCTGCGCTACCAATCAGGATTGTACTTAAGTTGCGAGTGACGCCCCACGCGCGCAACACTTGGATTGGATACTAGCTGTTGAGGCTGAGATCCAATTTCCTTTTCCAGCGTTGGCGAGGAGTGCACTGATGATGGAGCCAGTTTGGCAATAAATACGATGTACGAGTCGCGCGCTGATGCCCGAAACCCCGGTACCTAGGTACCTGGCGTTTGAAACACTATATTGCACAAAATCAGTGATTTTAAGTACATACGACCATAGGACACTGAAAATTAGGCTTCCCGTCCGCTCAGCCATATACAAGCAGTGTACCGGCGGATTAGTAGTTAGGTGGGTGACCACTAGCGAATCCCCGCTGTTGTATGTCTTTTTGGACTTTTTTGACCACCTCTCCGTCTTCTTCTGTAGCAACTCGTCTATTCCAAAGCGTTCACTTACTCGCTCGAGGTGTCCTCATCGAATCCTGTTTTCTGCAACATATAGTGTATGAAACATCCGTACATTGGGACACAAATTCAATTCATTAGCTGTTTGAAGAAATAGCTGCCTTAGAAGCTGATGCAATACCTAGAGCCGGTTTCGCAAACCGTCATTACATCCTCCTGATACAACGCATCCGGCAGTTTCGTGACAAACAGTGCTTCAATCGATAGGACATCGTGTATTCGCTCATCTCCATTGCTGACTCTAGGACATCCGTGACCCAGGTATCGTTGGTTACAACTGTACCTTTGCCGAGCTCGCCAACATCGCTTGAAAGCGAACTGCGATCATGGTATATGCCTTTGCTAAGCATACATGGTCAGTCACGGTCTGCTGCTGGATCGGAATCGAAGTAATCCTGAGCATCATGATCCAAATATCGAATCGCAAGGACTTTACGGGGGCCTTGGGATTATCGATTTACATCACCAGCTTGTGTAGTGGCGGCAGTGCTTGAATCACCACCTGGGCGTCATCTTGCTCCAACCAGTAATTACCTATGGAGGCTCACCACAATACAAGATCCGCGTTTGTGTTCTGCTTATCTTGCAAGCATGAAATCGGTCGCTCAGTAGACACCCATGAGCAAACCTACAATACACTATTAGGGCACCTGATTTTTATCTCCGGAAGTAGCGCAAAGTCGAAAGGCACTATTTGTACTGGCTACTTTCAAGGTATGGATAGCTGCAGGTGTAGCCTTAATAAGCTTTGTTGAAGGCAAAAGCAGCGTAGTAAAGCTACCTAGGTAGTAGTAGTCGTTAGTGGGGCAGAGCCGGCACACCGCCGTCCGACACGGTACCAGTCGGAAGCATCAGCATCAAGCTTGCGACGCTCAACCTCTCCACGCGTCTTCTGCAACAAGGTTTCTTTCGGAACTTATAGCCTGGGCCCAATCGTGGACTACCATAGTTTACCAGCTTCGAATAGAAGACCTGCAAATGACAGTCAATGGGCAGTATTCCGAATAGCATCATCAAATAATCTTCAGTCTCAACTTGCAGTCGCGGCGCGCTTTGGGTCAGCGACAGGTAAAGGGAGCATATCATGTGCACTATCTCTGTTTGTTAGCACAGAGCGATCACTGCTTCAATGTATGCGGTTTACATATCAAGGCTGGAAGGAAACGTGCTCAATTAACTTGCTCAATTTCACTCCACCCACACAGTTTCTTCTTGTTTCTATCCCAAGTTGGCGAAAATTCCAGATTGTGCATACAACATAATGGGCCGTTTCCCTGTCCTCTTGTCCCTCTTTGTTAGCGTAGTGTTTGCTGCACCGAGCGAGGATTCGAAGCAAACATGCTACTCCCAATTGGATGGCAAGTTGCCGTCTTTTACTCCGTCGAATTTCCACTTTAGTGGCAACGTAAGGAGGTACTACGTTGCCGCGGAAGAGCTTGAGTGGGACTATGCGCCTACAGGGTGGGATCACTGGTTAGGCGTATGAATCGAATTCTTATACGTGGAGACCTTTCATATTGACTCACATTACTTAGGTCCCTTTCAACCTCTGAGCAAAAGCCCAGTATTCAGAGTACACTCACTATGGCACCAAATGGCTCAAAGCGCTGTATCGCGGATACACCAACGCCTCTTTCAGCGAGAGGACGCTTCAGCCCCCATTCCAAGGCAGCCAGGGACTGACTATCCGTGCTGAAGTGGGCGTTCTGATTGAGATCCTGTTTGTCAATAAATTGAAATATCACTACGCGACCATGCATTCCATGGGACTCGCATACACCAAGCCGTACGAGGGCTCAGACTATCCAAATAACACAATGCCCGGCGTCGGTAACACGCTACCGATAGCAGACTACGGGCCGCCGATGCTGGGGCCAGAAGACTGTATCGTATACAAATGGATGGTGAACGATGAAGCGGGTCCGAGTGATGGGCTTCCAGCAAAGGTATATCTCAAACTAATGTTCCTGAATTCACTTATGAGATATCTAATAAAGGATACTAGATTCGTTCATACCATTCATACGTCTCTCTCGAGCAAGACGCCAACGCAGGCCTTGTTGGTCCCACAATTATTTACGCTACTGGTAAGATGAACGAAACAGTGGCGTCGTACCGCGAATTCCCCATTCTGTACAACAGCTACGATGAGGATCAGTCATTCCTCTCCGGCGTGAACAAAGCTCGGCTTGAAGGTGGCGGCTCTGCACAGTACATCATGCAGCAATTCGACACGACGGGCCTGCCTGACGCGAACATGACAGTGTGGAAGCCGCAATTGACAAATTTCGAGAGTGGGAGACAGTTTGATGGTGCACCTATTTTCTTCGCTATCAACGGGTTCTTATATGCGAACAATCCATCATTCGAGATGTGTGTGGGCGATAACGTATGTATCTACCTTTTCGACCTCATATCGCCGCCCTATCATACTGTTTCTTTGAACAGGTAATCTGGGGTTCGAATGCGTATGGATCGGCTAGCCATGTGTAAGTTTCATCTTTGCTACACTCTCTATAACTATGCCATCTCTTTTCTCTTGATACGTGCAAACACAATCGTGCGTAGAAAGGACACTAGCTAACAGTATTTTCTTCCATACACGTAGATTCCATATGCATGGTAATGGTGTCGTTTACCAGCGCTTCCATGAATACGCTGAAAGTATCAACGACGGCGTAGGAAAGACACTATACTCGAAGGCAGTTGGTGAGGGCCAATGGCAGGTCATTTGCCATGTACAGAATCACAACACCAAAGGCATGGTGGCAAACTATCGGGTTTACCCAAAGGACAACTGCCCTTTAGCGCCACTGAAACCGCTATGGGAGTAGCATAGTGACAGAACTAGGGATGTGCTTATAGCTTGATTTGGTATTGCCCTGGCCTTTTAGTATGTTAAAGGATATCCTAACGTGGAGTGCTTAGCGACCTAAAATCAGCCCTTTGGTGAAGTCTCTTCATTTTCCATCTGTTTACCTCTCCAAGCCTCACTGACCAGGTCTCGAATCTTCCTTGTCGTTATCTCCGGGAATTGATCATTCAAAGATTTCTCTGGCTTGAAGTCGAAGAAGCCCTCCTCAAACAAGATGCCAAACACTGCGCACATACCCTGCAGCATCTGCTTCGGAAAGTATGGGTACATTGGTGGATGAGCAGGCAGCTCGGTGACTTGGTATGATCTGAGCTTCTCCAGCGAATCATATGTGGTCTCGAACTTTGTTCCCCTTGCCTCCTCAGCAATAGCGAGGAATTCGTTCAGCGTGATCTTGTCACCAATGATGTACGACTCTTTCTCCCAGGATGTTTGGCCAAGAAGGGCAGCCACGAATCTGCCGATGTCGAAACTGTAGGTGAACACAACAGGAACATTACCCGACCCTGGAATAGCAGCAGCCTTGTTGGCGATATCGATGGCCAGCGTCAGACCTGTGAGGTATGATTTGACATATGGCTCTACATAATAGTCCAGGAAAAAGCCGTTGATGACACATGTGTACTGCAATGACGTCTTTTCCAGGGCGTCAAGATAAGCAATCTTTCCTTTGGCCATCGAGAAGATTTCAGCAACCCTGTATGTCGTCAAAATGACAAGATCAGTGATCAATGTTATAGGTAGTTCACTCACTTGGGTGTGTACTTGATTCCCCATGTGCTTGGAATGTAGCGTTGTGTGATACTGGATTTGTTGGCAGCCTCGATGAGGGCCATCTCAGGATCGGTGCCTGACATTGATCCAAGTGTCGAGATCACTGTATCGATACGATTCTCTTCCAAGGTTCTGGCGATGGAATCTGGTTTCGTGTAATCAACGGCGATTATCTTCGCGTCCGTTCCCTGGAGTTTTGCATCTCCGGTCGCCTATGCAAATGTCAGTACTTATGGTGTATAGCAATGCAGTATGATCTTACGTCTCGGGAGAGCACGAATACAGTAAACCCACCCGCTTTGACGATGGATTCGACAATAGCACGCCCAAGCTTACCAGAACCTCCAGCTACTGCAACGACAGTTGAACTCATCTTGATACCTTGCGAAAAGTCGCAAAATCTTTTTAACTGCTTTGGATAAATTCTTGTAGTGAAACAATAGAGCTATATAATATCTCAGTAACAGTCCGTCATGAGTAATGATACCTGTAGGGCTTTGTGAGGGGTAGTCGATGCGTGCTAGCGGAGAATGTGTAAACTAGCGGACTTTTGACCCCAGTCTATCTCTAATGCACCGACCTCGATCGTGTCGTAGCTTATCAATACCTCCCGTGGTCTGCACCGCCAACGAGAGAAGGTGGGTCTCTAATCATGTACTACGAAATTACCTAGATTGCTGGAGCTGGAGCTAGAGCTGGAGTGGTTGAAAGTGTCGTCGGTGCACAGCACACTCGCTCCAGTAACACCTCAACCACTGTCTTCTTTGCCAACCAAGCAGTCTGGTGTTTCAAGATAGGACCGAATATGACTGCAAATGCGGAAACAATTACTAAGATGCAGCCAGCCGCGGATCGCAGATTGTAGTGCGCGGATCCTCGGATCGTCTAGTAGCCGCATAAACACCGAACTGTAACCAATTGAGAGAGAGAACGTTACACTAGTAGTTTCTCGATATGATGAAAGCGCTCCAGTCCGCACGTTCGACGTAGCGTTGCATTGGTAAAGCGAACATCGGTATAGGGTATTCGTCCGTTAATTGTGAACCGAGAGCGACGATTGCAAATGCGGCATGGAATTGTTCCGTTGAACGCGTAGATCATACAGAACATTTGTCAGCCAATTATGACGAATTAGAGTACGCTCTTCTAAAGTTCAGTCTTGTAGAGCTGGTGTATAGATAGTCGAGTACACACGCGATGTGGTTCATCAAGTTCAAGCCCTACGAACCGACTTGTTATCATCATCAACAACAGACCGGTCATCTTCCCTCTTTCTCTTCCATGCTTTGCTTTCTTCCCTTTTCTTCACGTCTCTCTTTTGTCGTCTCTCAGCCTCCATCCTCTCATCGACTTCTCTTTTGACATAGTCTTCCAGAAAAGGCTTCAGTCCGCCCCAGATTCTCTGCTCATACGCGGAATGCTGAAACTCGATACACAACCATTCTAACCCTCTGAGCTCCTCTATGCCTCCATAAATGTCCAGAGCGGCGCGCTTATACACTTTCTTGTTGGTTTCGCTCGCCTCTGCATATGCCTTTTCAAAACTATCGATAATGGGCCGGACCGAAGTAGGTGGTATAAGCGTAACGTTACCTTCGTGGTCTCCAGTCCCGATAGTAATGCACGTATAGTCGCCTAGTTTGATCTCATCAAAGTCACGATCTGCGCCGTATAGGAGACACTCCTTGCCTTCGATGGGGAATAGGGTATAATCAAGATCGACCATCCAGCGTCCCTCAGTGTTTACGTCCTCGGTACTAAAGAAAAGGTCTTCATCGATCCCGTTACTTGCGCGCAGGAAGTCTTTGTATTCATCTGGAAGGTTTCCGCTCGGCAGCGCGACATCTGTATCGTCAAGGCCGCCTTCCGCATGCGATGCCGACAGACGTTTCTCGAGAGCGGCAATCTGATCTTCTGATGCGCCACTATTCAGGACGGGAGATGTTTCGTCTTCACCATTATCGGCACGTTCGGCAAGGACATTTTCTTGGATCATCTCCACCAGCTCGGCCATCGTTTTCGAACTGTATAGGCGCATGGGTCCTTCAGTAGAGCGCTGTTTGAAGAGGGCGCCTAAAGGTACGTGTACGGAGTCAGTGTATGTCTCACATGCAGTTTGTACAGAGATATTTCTCACAGCCCTCTTTCACATAGTCTTCCACGTCAGACATGCGCACACCGAATGCTTCTCCAAGATCCAATTCTCTGAGCGTTTCCCATATTACGTCGCAATGCTGCAAGCCCTGGCGACGCTCTAGCCATTGCCTCGTCTCGTCCCCACTTATGTCTGGGTTATTGTAATTGTCTAACAGGTACTGGTAGAACTCTTTCATGTTCTTTTCGATCAAACTAGTGGCTAAATCTTCCTCGCCTGCAAGGTGCGCGACCTGTGCGACAGCACCAAGCGTCATCGATTCTTCCGGAATGCCATAGGTAGTATCTGGTTTTGTGTTGAGGCGCTCACATGCGAACTTCACATCTTCTTTATTCAACTCATGCTCTTCGGCTTTCATTGTTAAATCCTTAGGTAAGCCCGTGGTAGATATGCAATCCATGTCTTCATCGCCCACTTCGTCTGCCCATGAAGGAAAAGAATCGCTAGCTCCCCAAGCTCCTGTCAATTGCCTTGAGATAGTTGCTCCGTAATAGTCCTTGGTTTCCGTGTCGATACCATACTCATGGACTGTCTCGAGTAATATGAAGGCTTGTTCAGCAAATCCTAGTACGAAAAGGTCCAGTGCAGCGTGTTGTGCTATCCTCGAGGCATCCAGATGAATGCGAGATGTGAGAATTGAAGTCTTTGACCAGGGTATAAGTGGTAAAGGGGTCGTCATGACGGTAGAAGCTGTGTTTCTGATATGGCGCGAAAGAGAGAGGAACTGGCTCCTCGAATTCGACCGACTTATACGTAGAATCCATAAGCACTTTTCGGATTGCTATTAGCATCTATGCAGCGGTTTTGCGGTGTTGAGACTAGCTGCTAGGCTGCAAGGCTGCAAGCACCACCTACGTGGGTGCGATGACATCATGCATGAGCTAGTCAAGGCACGACTTTAGTGAGTCTCCAAGGCGACCGGGAATGCATAGAAAAGCTACAGGCACACCGGCTGATGTATTAATCTTGTCGCAATCATGTACAGAAGACATGTCGGTAGTTCAGGAAGGCTTCGATGTGGAGTAGCTAGGACCTCCGGAAGTAGTATGAGCTCGCACTGTTCGGATAACGTAGCGAGGGGCAGATCTGTAGGGCTGGCTTCCCTTACTGTACACGCTGCAGAGTAGCACCAACTGGAGTGTCTTAGATGGGGCAGAATCCAACGGAACGGTCAAGAAGCGGCCATGGAAGGCTTCTCCATGACGTTTGTACCCTGAGAAGTCTCGGGCTTTCGCGTCGCCGCGCGATTTAATTGCATCTGCCGCCTGGGCAGCAAGTGCCAATGTCGGAGGTTCCGTTGATCTTGCAGATGAAAGGTAAACCTTTTCGCAAACGCTATAGCACCTTGCCCAAAGAAGGCACTTGCCACATCACATGACGTGCTGAGAAATCAGGGACAGCCCCAACTTCGGCCCGTGAGGCGCAGCGGCTAGTGGGGTCGGGGTGCCACAACTCGGCAGCTCTGGATTCGTCCGTTAGCAAGTTGATAAACCCTGAGCTATCACGATCCTAATTGATCCTCCTGACGGGTAGCAGCAAATATGCAGGCCCAGAAGGACAGTCGCGCGACAACATCTTGCACTGAATGTCAGCGCCGGAAGCAAAAGGTCAGCCCCCACCCCAGATCGACCCTGCGTCTACCCCTTGACTAACGGGAGGGCTAGTGCTCGCGAGAGTGGCCCTGCAATCATTGCCAGGCACGAAAGGTACCCCATCTCTGTCAGTTCTCCGTCAAAAGAGGGCAAACGGAGTCATCCCCAGAGTCTGCTCGGTATGTTGATCACCTTGTCTACCCCGCCGTTAGCGGAACATGGTAGTAACAACTATGGCGCAGAGAAAACTCGTCTGGCAGCACCACCAAGGGCACAAAAAGGAGTGCTCCCGATTCTGTAGAGCCACAATTTCCATCGCGACCGCAAGATGGCGAGCCAGAAGACCTCGAGGACGGGCTAAAAGCGTGGGGATATATGCCCGGCCATGTTCACTACAAAGTCAGCACGGTGGAAGAGGTAAGCAGAACTAGTAGAATATCTGTCTCAACTAACAGACCCAAGGGCGGCAAGCATAAAGACTCACCGGCAGAGTCTCCGGGAACAACGGGCGTCGTAGAGAAAGTCCTCCCTGCAGTCCCTCCCAGATCGATAACCGGCAAGTGCAACCATCGTCAGACTTGAGTTTTTGCTAACAGCACACAGACGCGTTTGTTAATCACTTCCTGACAGTTGTCAACTACAGATACAGCGCGATATACGGGCCAACACTAGCTGAACAATACGTCCAGTGGTGGACTGATCGTGGTGCCGGCAAACAGCTCTCGCCAGAATTTACCTGCTTACTGTTGAGAATCTGCGCATACTCCGTGCAGTTTCTCACACCTTCGCTTCGCAAGATGATTGAGTTTGAGCTGGCTTGCAGTTGTCAAACCTTGACCGAACGGTTTTCCGACGCAGCGGAAGAGCTGAGCCGGAGTTTTGAAGCATCGCGAACAAGTATTGAACGTGTGCAAGAACAATTTCTCAAAGGTGCCTGGCTAAAGTCGGAGTCCAAGATAGTAGAATCATGGCATGCGCTTTCACGCACCATACGAGAAGCACAAGAGCTAGGTATCGACAAAGATGCAGGTATCGAGGGCCTATGTGAGTTCGACATCGAGATCAGGAGACGTCTCTGGACGCTGCTGTACATCTGGGACTGGTAAGCACATGACCATCATAACGAGAATGCTCACTAATTTCCGCTACAGGCAGATGTCGGCGTGGTTGGGTCGTCCAAATCTCATCGACCAGAAGGATCTCAGCTTCAAATTCCCCAATCTACGACTGGATCAGTCAACCACAGAGCCAAACCTACTTTCACCTTTTGCTCACATGGCGCTTCAAGCAAATCTGGGCCGTAGAGTAGCGACTGCTATGGGAACTGCCAACTCCAAGACTGATCTATCGGATAAGCAAGTTCTGACAATACAGTCCGAATGCGAGAAGCTTGCCGAAGAGCTACCCCCGATATTTCGATTCAAAAACACGGATACATCTTTCGACGAGACGCATCCATACTTTGTCTTCCAGCGTTGCCAACTACACTGTGTCATCCTTTTAACACAACTCGACTTTCTCAAACCCTACCTGACCCGAGAGCGTCAAGGCCAAGTGGCTGGTCAGGATGAAGAGTTTCGGAAGAAAGGCATAGACATCGCGTTGCGTCTCCTGAAAGTCGCGCGTAAACTTTTCGATCATGAGTTCCCGATCAACGCAAAGTTTCACATGGTCGTCTTCTGCATCTTCGATACTGCGACTCTACTTTGCTCCGCCATCATACATGACCGCAAGCATACTCTGCCTCATCGTGAGGAAATCGTGGACGTTATCGAAAGCTCTCTGAAGATGCTGCATCAACTCAGTGGAACAACAAAACTTGGGGCTACGTCTTTCAACTTCCTTTCTAAGCTTGTGCAGGCTACGCCAGAGCTTTCGCGATATCCTTCGATCTGTAAGCGCCAACGGCAGGCGTCTTCTTCGGCACCCAAGTCAACGCCGCCGCTACCTGCGCATGAGCCTACACCAGTAGCGACCATGCCTCCGGTGGCGTCTATAGAGCCGGTTGTTGCACCGGCTCCTTCCACGGTCGGCGATCTGCATCCAGTGACCATCTCGGATGATCTCTCGTTCGACATTGATCAATTCCTCGCCCAAAACCCCTTTGGTACTGTCGGGGACCCATCTGCTGTGGACATGGGTGGCATGGAGCAGATCTGGGACTGGCAAGATCTGCGCCTGAATTCCTATACACAAGGGGATTCACATGGCTGGAACACTAATGGATCGGGATGAGCGCCATGACTGACATCTTACCAACCATGGGCGCAATTGAACGCGCGTAGCTACCCTTAGCCCTTGGGATAGTAGACGGGAGCAGATTATTAGATCTGTAACTCACCGCCAAGCATCTGGCATGCTTCCAAATCTATATGGCAATGCCATAAGTACATTCAGGTGAACTCACACTGCCAACGAAGCAGTATGAGTTCAATGATCTTGGACCGTAGATTTTGTTAGCCTGTGGTGGATCCGATCACACGCGCGGTGTACCATGTAGACCACATGTTTACTTCCTCGGGCCTTTCTTTTAATATCTGTATACACATTAGCTTTCTATTAACTTCCAATAAAACAAGCATGCCCCAAGGTGCTCGTACTCACCCTGGCATCCAGAGCGATTTCGCTATTGTTTCCTTCCCTTGACCATGTATTTACAGCCAAGCGAATCTTGTGTGTGAGATGATAGGAATGCTTACACAAGATTGAGCGAATTTAGGACTTTCAAAAGGGCGGGTGAGCTGTGTATAAAGATAAGGTTGCAGGTCCTGGATCGATCCCGAAAACCTTCGGAAATTGTCTGTGCTGCCCGATACATACATAGCCACAAACGCCACATAGGTCGTCATCTGCGGGGTGCACGAAGACCATGGACCGACTTGGCTTATGAAAATTTGGCTTACTTGCAAAATATCGAGGATGCTTATGCGTAGGTGTCATTCTTCAATACCACTGCGAGAACTCATCCCCGGTTGGCCGACAACCCTAGCTACCCCCATGAGCATAGAAGAAACAAAACAAGACGAAGGACGTACCTCCACAACATGCGCTCGGTCATTTGTGACTCTTCTTTGCTCTCTTGTCTATTGGTTTGACGTGAGATGCAGCTGCCTTTCGCTTGTCCGCGGTTTTCCTAATCCGTTTGGAACTTGCATACTGGTCCGATACTAGGCCACTAGTAGGCTTCACACGTTCCTCTTCAGTATCCGGTCGAGGTGGCAACCTCAGCACCAACTTAGGACGTACAACATGTTTTCCAAGCGGAACTGCCGGCGTTATGAGAGGCGTCTCCAGATCCGCAACACCAGAGTCTCGCCTGTCTATCGTCGTCTTGGAAGTCGGATTCGCCGCTTCTACGGGGTCAGGCTCTACCTGCTCAGTTGCAATATTCACCGTAGACGCTGAATGCGGTGTGCCGTAATACAAAAGCTTGGGATCTTGGTCTTGAACCCTTACTTCAGCGAAGCTCTTCTGAGTACGAATTTTCCACTCATTGAGAGCCGTCAAGGCGTCCGTGTGGACTTCCAGCTGTGCAACAAGCTTGTAGACGGTATGTCGAAGGCTATCGTGCTTTTCGGCCAGACGGTCGTGGCCCGATGACAGGATGCAGTACGGGTCAGACAAGTCAATGAAGTGTTCCGCGAGCTCAAGATATGACTCGGCGCAGCTGAGATGTATATTGTCGAGCTCTCGTCGGAGGGCGCGAGCGCGGGTGCGTAAGTCGGAGTTTATGGGGAATATCTGAGAACTTTGGAGAACTTGACCATCGTGCGACGAAGGTGGAGTATATTGCTCGTGGTTGAATCTATACTGTGTTAGTGAGCTAGCTACTTTATATATTGTGCAAACTCACCGAGGATTGTCACTGGCATATCCATTGGTTGGCCACGAACATATCGGACTGTGGGTGTTGCTTCGAGTATTGGAAATATCGACGTCAGGCGTCTGGACATCGCTACCGCTGTCCGACGGCATATACAGAGGAGATAAGTCGAGGACAGCGTGGCGACAAACTTTTTGGTCGCAGTAGTGATCATTGCGAGCTGCTGGCCATTTTGGTGAGACGTTGACTGGTCTGGGTACTGGGAGTTGCTCGCGCTCTCCGAGCAGCTTGTAGAATGCGTCAACGGACTCGGCGCTGTTCAGGCTGGCAAGAGGTTCCGCACCGCACATGATGATTGCTGATGATAAGGGGTGATTGAAATAATAAGTGTGAGTATTGAACGGGGACGTCTGCGGCACTGTTGATGTTTCGTGAACATGTCACCCAAGGTAAGAGTGGCGGTTAGATCCATTGTTGATGGTTACTGCCAGGCCAGTCTCGAAGCAGCAGTTGATGCTGCCATTAGAACCGAGAGCGTATCTTGCCTCGAGGCAACTTCAATGCAGCCCCGGAGCGATCGAGGGATGGAAGGCGCATATCTGAGATGTCACTGAGGGGCTCGTTTGTTATAAGTTTCGCCCTATGTTACACACCGAGCATACACATGAGTCTATGTCAAAAGTCTATCAAGAGAGCGATGGTATATACCTTCGCGGAGGGTTCTGGTACTTGATTACACATCAGAAAAAAAAAGACCTTTTTCGTAGATGTCTTTGCAGGGCTGTGGAGGCCAGGAATCTTGATCAAGTTTCCACTCAACAACGTCGTACGTAAGTTGTACTTGGCAGCACTACCGAGGCAATACGAGCTCAACACAAAGGTCCTGGATCCTAGCATCGAATACGTCGCGTGACATTCCCTCCTGTCGATACGACTTGCTTTAGGCAGGGCCCACAATGGTACCTACTCGGCGCGTCTTGCCAGGGCAGGTATGTGGCTTCTGAAGGGTCTTGCTTCTGTGGAGCCGGTCAGGGTCCGAAAACCTGCCACACTTAACGGCAGATGCATCGTTCGCAACCTGAACGTTTCAGTCTCGGTCAATTAGTAGATGAGCAGTCACCGGCCGCGCATCCCACGAGTGTCGATCTCGCACTGGTGCTGGGGTTGGAGCGGTCCCGCCTTCTGGAGTCGTATATCTCAGGGACGTCATGCCTGATCTAGGCATGTAACGAGAACACTCGAGCCTGCCCGCTTACCGCCGGTGTGATCAATGACTGAAGATAATTTCAGGCCGGTTTTATTAGCCATTTCGCGTGCGCAAAGCCTGAGAAACGTTAACGTAATCGGCACATCCCTAGCTAGTCGCGTTTCGGCACGCGGCAAAATTTGGACCCGCGACAGGCGAATAGCGCGCAGCCTCGCCATCGGCGCGAGGAACAGACGCACTCGCCACAAAGACGAGCCACAAAGACGACGACTACCATTGTCAGTCAATGGCGACCGATCTCTTCAGCACAGATTCTAACATGTTCATCGAGGGCTCAGCATGCAATCGACTGTCATGATTGCGCATGGGGCAAGGTCCTGCAGACGCACAACCGCACAAGACATGAGACTGCGAGAAGCTTACCAGACCGATGGTTTTGACTAAGGCCAAGCCTAAAAGATTGAGCGAACCACAGCAGCGACGTTGGATGATCTTTGCAGTGAACGGCACAGCAACGTGCTGGGCTGGTGCTTGGTCCACCTAAGCACTACGTCACTGCGCGCCTCAATAGCCGCTACCTTGGCGCACCTCAGCAATTGCTCCACATCATCTGTCCGTTCCAAAAGATTTTTTGACAGGCGTTGGGGAGAACTGGAGTATATGAGGGGCCGTAGTCCTACTCCGGGACCGAGCTCATACAACTCTTGTCATCTAAATTCCCTGCGACTTTGCTGTCGCGGAAGCTTGCCATACTCCAATACACAAGCTTTTCCAAGCCTCACAAGCCTTTAGCATCCTGCTTGGGTGAAGACGCCGTGACGGTTCCAACACACGACCAAGCATCAGATTACATCGACATCGACCCCGACGAACCGACGACCCTGAACAGGATCATCCCAATCGCGACTACCTCCGTTATCAGACCCTCACTACCATAGCGCCAACCCCAAGCAACAACCACACCTAACCTCCATTGCGCTACAACCACCATCTTTTCGCCAAGATGGTTCGAACTATGTTTGTGAATCCCTTCAAGGCCCACCACGTCGACGAGTTCCCGGGTGTTCATGTGCCTCTTGATGATTCAACCCATCGCGCTTCTGTAGCTTCCACTCACCCACGCGCCTCCCTCGGAAATTCAGAGAAAGCCAAAGACGATGAGCCCAACGACCTTAGGCGACCTGAAAGTAATGCATCAAGTGGTGTTGTTAACCATGGCATGACAGTCGCAGCATTAAAGGCAGAGATTGAAGCAGATGTCGCCGCCTCAGACCAAGACACGCCATATGACCGTACGTCGTGTGGCATTTCCTATCGTTTTGGGTAATCGTTATGAAATATTAGTACTAACATTCTACAGGCAAGTCCAAGGTCATCAACAGAGCTTTGCAAGATATGGGAATGGGTCGCTACCAATGGCAGCTTTTCGCTCTTTGTGGTGGCGGTTGGATGGCCGACAATTTGTGGCTGCAGGTGCGTTTGCCAAACTCGTCGACTGTCAGCAGGACTTACCATGATATAGGGTGTCGCTCTAACACTGCCTCAACTTAGCGCTGAGTTTGGTGTCAGCGAAACGGAAGTCAGATACACCACACTATCGCTCTTCCTCGGTCTCTGCATTGGCGCGTCTTTCTGGGGTACCGCATCCGACATCATTGGCCGCCGTCTCGCTTTCAACTTCACTCTGTTCCTCGCCGGTGTCTTCGGTCTTGCTTCAGGCGGCGGCCCCAACTGGATTGGCACATGCGCACTGTACGCATGTATCGGTCTCGGTGTTGGTGGAAACCTTCCAGTCGATGGCGCTTTGTTCCTCGAATTTCTGCCTCAAACATCCGGAAACCTCTTGACGCTACTTTCCGTTTTCTGGCCTGTTGGTAATTTGATCGCTTCGCTGCTGGCCTGGGCTTTCATTCCCAACTTCTCATGCCCTTCTGGTACTCCCCTTGGGCAGTGCAGCAAGGCCGACAACTGGGGCTGGCGATACCTCATCTTGACCCTTGGTGCGATCACATTCTTCATGTTCATCTGCCGCTTCTTCCTCTTCCATCTTTACGAATCGCCCAAGTTCCTGTTGTCTCGTGGTCGCCAGGCTGAGGCCGTCGCTACCGTCTACGGTATCGCGCACTACAACAAGACGCACACCTGGCTCACCGAGGACATCCTCAACCAAATCGGCGGCGACCAAGAAGTCACCCAAGAAGATACAAAGCTCAGCGTGTTCGAGATTATCAAGCGCTCCCTCAGCCGATTCTCGATGAAGCGCTTCAAGACATTGTTCCAGGATAAGAAGATCGGTCTCACCACTGCCCTTTTGTGGTTCCAATGGACGACTATTGGTATGGCATACCCGCTTTTCAACGCTTTCCTCCCACAATATCTTGCGAACTCTGGTGGTGATGTTCAAAACGACACCAGCACCGTGTACCGCAACTACGCCATTACTGCCATTGTCGGTGTTCCTGGATCGATCATCGCTTGCTACACCGTCGATATCAAGTACATTGGTCGCAAGGGTACCATGGCCATCGCAACCGTCATCACCGGCGTCTTCGTGTTCCTGTTCACCATCTCGTCCGACTCCGACTTCCAGCTCGCTTTCACCTGTCTTGAAGCTTTCTTCCAGAACATCATGTATGGTGTTCTGTACGCGTACACACCTGAGGTCTTCCCTGCACCTATCCGTGGTACTGGTACTGGCATGAGCAGTTTCTTGAACCGCGTTGCCGGACTATGCGCACCGATTGTTGCTATCCAGGCTGGTGACAGCAACCCCAAGGCCCCCATCTACGCCAGCGGTGGATTATTCATTGCGGCGTTCTTCAGTATGCTGATATTGCCGATTGAGACAAGAGGCAAGCAGACTTTGTAGACGGTACCCATAGAGTACCTGACGGCAGGACCGTATAGCGCAGTTACATATTAATTACTGCTAAGAATTGATGATTCTCAATTTCATGTTCAAGCTTTGTCTCGTCGTAGTTCAAAATGTGGTGCGACTAACCTCCATTCCAAATTTGACCCACTACACATATGCTTCGTCTCTCAAAGCCTAGCCCTTGCCTCGCCGAGTCTCAATTTCCACCCTTTGAGCCATACCTCAATCTGCTTCGCCGTAAGATTCTCAACCTTGGGTAACATCTCCAACGCATTCTTATTATGGAAGACCATAGCCTCTTGCTCCCTCCCCTCGCCCGCTGCTGCCATGAAACCATGCATCTTAAACACTTTCGGATCAAGTAGGCCAAGCCATTGCGGGAGCGTAACCCCCTTGACCGCCAAACCAAACTTCTTAGCCAAGACATTGTGCAGAAGAACCCAAGGTGCGGGATTAGGATGCATCATGTTGTATACTTTGGTCGCATCGTTGTTACTCGGCTGCGAAAGTGTAATGTTGGTGATGCCTTCTGCAAGAGCATCGACAGGAACCCAGTCGACAGCGTTCATGTGAACAGGCCAGCAACCTAGTTGCTGGCTTGTCTTGAAAGTGACCCATAGCCAGCCTTGGATTGGCCAGCCTGGCGAACTAGCAATCGCAGACGACGGTCCACCAATTTGTCCTGCACGTACGATGGCGATGCGTACGCCGGAATCTAGGTTCGCGCGGGCCAGAAGTTGCTCAGCGATGCATTTGCTCTGTCCGTACCCGCTGTCCGCAGCGCTGGCATACTCCCAAGCCGGTTCTTCGGGTATGAGTGGTTGTTCTGGATGACGGCTTGGCCAGTTCATGATTGAGCAGTTTGATGACACGAATGTTACACGTGCCTTTCTCGGGCTGCCGATACATGCTTCAACGACGTTGCGTACGGCATTGAGGAGTGGCTCAAACTTTGCGAGGGGTACGGCCCAGTTTGCGTTCCAGGCGTTGAAGACGATTTCATCGACTTCGCATACGAGTTGCTTGTACTGCGTATCGTCCAGTCCAAGGTTTGGTTGTGTGATGTCGCAAGTTATAAAGTGGAGACGGCTAGAACTTGCGAGGTTGTCGCTGCTGATGCGCTGCAAAGATGATGTAGTACGCTGTTCTCCATCCTCACTCCTATTGAGGCACAGGATCTTGGTGCGACTGTGTTTCAGGAGTAAAGAGGCTGTGATGTATGGACCCAGAAACCCAGTAGACCCAAGGAGAGCAATGGTCTTTAGCTCGATCATTGTGGCATCGCCAAGATGCAGGCAATTTTGTGGTATGATTGTCGTATGGGCAGCTCGCAATCCGTCAATCAATGAAATCGTGACTTTTGATGTGAAGAGTGAGCTTAAGGCGCAAGATGAGTGATAGATTAGTTTACGTTTTATACCTCAATAGCGATCAAGGCTACGAGATTGCAATTAAGGATGGGGTGTTGATGTGTCGTCCAGATACCATTTGGGTCTCACAAAGGGATGTCCTGCGAATCCTCGCATGAGCACCAACCTACATCCCCTCCAATGAAGTGGAAGTGTGCTCCATACTGACTGTTTGCCATTGGCGTTCCGCAGTGGCCATCCTCCGTTCTTTCGTGGTCTGCATATGCCAATCTTTCAAAAAGCGCCACCATGGCTGATGATCTGACAGCACATCGCATACAACGTAGCATCGTCCGTCCTTGGGCATCGACTCAATCCGCGGACTGGAAGTTGTTGCGTCGGACGCGGTAACGGCGCAGCTGCGATGGCGTTCAGGCTGTACAGAATCCGGTCAAGAGTTCAGTAGTTGTGGCTGTATAGCCAATGGCATCCGCAGCGTCGGAACTCGCTCCATCACATGCTGAGTGGGATGAAGTCCTTATCGTGCGAGTCAGAGGCCCAGATGCAGTTTTGAGAGATGAACTTGCTCTTGCCTTCCACCGGAAGTGGAGTTTGGTGGGATATAGCGTTCATGCGACGCAAAGACTGTCAAAAGATCGAATAGAGTTTTTAGCACTCATCCCACAACGATTATGGGGCTGGCTGTCGTTACCCGATAGAGTACAGTTCGCAGACAGGCATTTTTGGGAGAAGCGCAAGGGCGACCCAGGCTCAGGCAAAGGAGCGGGTGGCTGACCATGTTTCTTTATTCTGTTGGTGTAACGACGGAAGAGGAGGTGGAAAGTCGAGATGGTCTAAGAGGTGATCGAGGTGAGCTCCACAATTGCAACGCCGCACGCCCTGACTTATTACACGTCCGTTCCACAGGCGTTGGTACGCGCCCACCACAACCTACGTCGCTTTGTCCGATTGTTGTCCAGGTAGATTGATGTCTACAGCGAGTCAGCATAGAGATGGCACTACCGCGCGACTCTGGCCAGGGTCCTTCCCCGCATCTCGCTGCCGAGGCTTCAGCACACCATGATAGTTGACATGTTTGAGCCCGCAAAGCAGGATGTATCTTGTCGATATCGCTGCAGCTGACGAGACAGACCCTCGTAATTGCCTTGTCATCTCGAGGAGCCTCGCATTGGCATTGACGTCGCAACCGCAATACGTGAACCCGCAGTCGCCATGGCCCTAGGAGAATACACAAACCTACGCGTCGACCGGCACGACCAAGTCTTTGTCATCACCCTCGCCAAAGCACCCGAGAATCGCATAAACGTCAAGTTTGCACAGGAGATAATACGTGCGCTACGCGACATTGAGCAAGAACTAGGCCCTGATGCGGAAGGATGTGTGATAACAAAGGGAAACGACGAGAAGTTCTGGTGCACAGGTCTCGAGCTAGACGAGAGCGATACAAACCCATTTGCGAATAGCGATGGCTTCTTCCCGCTACTAGCGACCTTGCTCGACTATCCGTTCCCCACTATCGCTCTGCTGACGGGCCATACCTTTGGTGGGGCTTGTCCCTTTGCTCTCGCGCACGACTATCGCATCATGAACGCGTCGCGTGGCTTCTTCTCTATGCCGCCTGTCAACCTCGGCCTGCACTTCCCTGGCATCGGCTTTCTCCCTCGACTCAAGCTTCGACCGCAGATTGCGCGAAAGATGCTGCTCGAAGCGCATCGCTGGACGGGCAAAGAGGCATACGAGGATGGTATTGTCGATGAGGTTGCAGAGCCCAAAGAGATGTTCAAGGCCGCGTTGAAGAAAGCAAAGGCAGTCCAGGGTAGGGCCAAGATGGGCGTATACAGCGTGCTCAGAAACGAGCTTTGGGGTGAGGCGGCTGAGAAGATCAGAGGCATCTGCTATGTGCATGGTAAGAGGGTCACCGCACCCGCAAAGGCGAAGATCTGAAACCGTGTCTTCGGCGACCGGACCGACGAAGATGCGCCTATCAGTCTATCAGCAACATCCAAATAAATATGTATACAAGTTCACTCGTATGTCAATTGATTCCATCTACTTGGCGCTGACGATCGAAGGCTAAATTCGTCGCTTCATCTATTAGCCCTGTCAAAACACCCTTCTCATTAACTTATCGTCGACATGTTCAATACTGCACCGCGCTATCATGACATTATCGCATCATTCAATACATCGAGCTGTTCTATATCCAACGGTGGCAATATATCGCACACGTCAATTTGTCGTGTTAGAAAGGGAGACGCCTGGTGGTTCCTGGCTTGACTTGAGGCTCAAAACACTGAGAACCAGGGCTTGGTCAACACCCCGTCCACGCCACTCCAAGTCCCCTTTATAAGCCTAACAGAACATATCATTAACCAAGCACAGAGATGTGACTGTGAAAGACAGTTTCCTGTAAGCGTAACGTGGTAACAATATATTGCTAATGTGGAAGCGTATGCCACGCTCAACAGAAAGTACTGCAGTCCGAAGTACCGGCCGCTTTGATATCATCCCACGCTTCCATCGCATGAGCGGATCTAGGCACCACGCCCAGCCAAGGTACGATCATCGTATGATATGTAGTGGGGCTCATGACATTGGGCGAAGGAACCCACGTTACAAGTCGATCAAGCGCCTCGCGGCTATCCGGCCTACATTCGAGCTTCATTTACAGATGCACAGACACATGTGATATTCGGTTATAGCGGCTCTTATTCTTGATAAGACAGCGAGATCCGCTACGGCAGGTCGTAAAGACAACATAGTTTCTACATTTCGCCTACCATGAGGATAGCCAAATTAGCTTTCGGATTTGCTACTGTTGCCAACAGAGGTATGTGCTGTCATGCTATCATAAACATTGCGTTAGTGACATTAAAGCAGCACATAGCCAAGTGACCAAGCGTTACTGTGATCCGGAAACGTCGATATGCTATTCTGGATGGACTGGTACTAATGGCATCACGTTCGGTCTCGCTTTACCTGAGTCAAAAACTGCACCTTTCGATACCGTCTTGCAAATTGTTTCACCTATCAAGAATGGATGGGTGGGGTTTAGCTGGGGTGGAACAATGCCATATGTTCCACTTACGGTCGGATGGATGAACACTGCATCCAACACATCCATTTACAGCTCGCGAATGGCTTTCGGCTTGAGTCTACCACAGCCCTATGCTGATGCCGAGTACTCTTACATCAAAGGAACCGGGTACAACACAACTCACTGGACTTTGACTGTGCGGTGCAAGGGCTGCTCGCAATGGCACGACGTGGATGGTAATCTGGTTTCAATCGATGCAAATGCATCTGCGCAGAAGTTCGCCTATGGCTTGTCGAGCAAACTGCCCGCTCAGCCAGCGAACAACAGGTCTACTTTCAACGTGCATAGTTCGTTCGGAAACTACAGAATTGATCTCACGCAAGGCCAAAATGCAGACTTTGACGAGCTAGTCGCTGCAAATCTTGTCGATGATGCTCCGCCAGTATCAAGTAGTGTCTCGATACCGAGCTCGACTATCAGCTTACGACCAACGACCATGAGTACCAGTACTACATCTTCGGGCTTGTCCGAACCAACATCAACGGGAGTACCCTTATCCTGCCCTGATGTTGGCAAACTTGCATTCCCGATTAGCACTGCGAAAGGATGGAAAGCTACAAAGGTAGCAGGAGACCTGACCCAACCAAGAGGGCTGATCTTTGACACTCTAGGTAATCTCCTCGTTGTACAAAACGGGTTGGGTATTACGGCTCACAGCGTCACGCCAAACGGCTGCCTTACCTCGCCAAAGACTCTTATCCCTCAGCGGAATCTCAACCATGGCATTGCGCTTAGCCACGATGGGAAGACCCTGTACGCTAGCTCTGCGACCTCGGTGTTTTCATGGACATATGATGCAAATACCATGAGTGTATCAGGAAACTCTACAACAATTCTGACTGGAATGGACAGTAGAGGCCACGTTACAAGGACGCTCTCAATCCCACCACAACATCCAAACCTTCTAATCGTGTCTCACGGGTCAAACGACAACTTCGACTATGGCTCAGCGGATATGAAGACCGGTCGATCATGCGTCAAAGTCTTCGATACCACCACTGTTCCTGAAAATGGCTACGACTATCCAACCGGCGGCTATCAGATGGGCTATGGACTTCGTAATGAAGTCGGTCTAGCATTCGATGCTGAAGGTATGCTTTGGGGCGTTGAGAATTCTTCTGACGAGCTGCATCGTACTATTGATGGAGTATCTGTGGACATCCACACCGATAGTAAGTGTCCCTGCATGAACTGCATATGAGACAGATACTGATCTCGTACACCGAGATTTAGACCCAGCTGATGAGATCAACTATCTGGGTGACCCCTCCAAAGAAAACACAAACTGGTATGGGTACCCGACTTGCTACACCGTCTTCAACCCAGAATCCATCACCGACAAAAAGTTTGCAATGGGTGATCAATTTGTCTTGGAGCCCAACGCCACTTTCACGGACGATACGTGTATGATACGGAGTATACCGCCTCGTCTTGCTCTCCCAGCTCACTCTGCGCCCCTTGACGCGGCTTTCGATACGAATTTCACTAGCATGTACATTACCATTCACGGATCCTGGAATCGCAGTCCTTCGGTTGGATACAAGATCATCCAAGTCCCCTTTGCGAACGGTGCCCATGGATTCGGGCCAAAAGCGGCCTTGAACAGCACGCATTCTTGGACTGATATCTTCTGGAATCCGGACGTGGATCACTGTTCGACTACGCAGTGCTTCAGACCCGTGAGTATTGCGCAGGACAAGTACGGCCGGATGTATGTTACTAGTGACAGTGGAGCGGAAGGGGAGATGATTGTTTTGGGAAAGGAGTAGACGATGAGTTATGTGTGGATAGCATCTATATCGCAGCATCAGGCTCAAACTTGGCGTTTATAGTCGTTACTCGTACATTGTTAAGATAGTGTAGTCCGAGAATGCCAGACAGTCAAGCAAGACTCCTGACACATTCTACGTTCCACCGCCTACTCTACGGCTACTTTCTCCCATTTGAGCCCATCCTCCAAGCTCCCCCTTGTTACACCCCAGTTATCCGAGAACCAGTTATCGCGCGGCTTCCACGGTCCAGTACTCGCACAGTTCGGCATCTTCTTCATCGCGTTCTTGACATAGGTACTGTTGAGCGGACTAGCAGACACCGTCTTTTCCTTGTCTTTCTCATCGATGATCGGCACAACGCTTGTATAGCCATGTTCCTCCTGATGCTTGATAAGGCGGACGAAAAGACGGGATGCAGTATCAGAGCCTAGTGTCCATGACGCATTCCAGTACCCGATGATGTTGCCAAGGTTGGGGAGGGAAGTGAGCATAGAGTTGCGCCACATGTATTGCGATGCCACATCGACTTTCTTGCCGTCGACGCTGACGTCTATGCCGCCGAGGAACCGCATGTTGAGGCCTGTGGCTGTGACGATGATGTCTGCGTCTAGCTTCTGCCCGCTGGTGAGTTCGATGCCGTCTGAGACAACGCTCTTGATGGTATCCGTAACGATATGTGCTTTGCCTGAGTTGAAAGCCTTGAAGTAGTCACCGTCGGGACAGAGACACATGCGTTGTTGCCAGGGGTTGTAGCCAGGCTTGAAGTGAGGATCGACAGGGAAGTCGGGGGGAAGCTGTGCTGCGGCCTTCTTGACGAGGAAGGATTGTGCAAGTTTAGGGAACCAGATGCAGAACTTATAGAGGAGGATAGGGACGAGAGTGAACATGAAGCCTAATCAAACTTGTCAGTAATCGGTATCGAGGTCGAAGTGAGGGGACATACGTTTGTATCGTAGAGTGAACCACTCTGGTGCCCACTTCTCGAACCATGCTTTGTCTTCCTGAGGAAGGCTCATGATATATGACGGACTCCTCTGCAACTGCGTCACACTGCCCACACCGCCATCCACCAGCGCAGGAAGCAGCGTTATTGTTGTCGCTCCACTACCCACGACAATCATCTTCTTGCCCTTGTAGTTGAGATCCTCGGGCCAGAACTGCGGGTGCACGATCTTGCCTTGGAACTTGTCGATGCCTGGGATGTTTGCTTGCAGAGGTTGGTCGTAGTTGTAGTATCCCGTGCCTGTGATGAGCCATTTGGTCCAGTACACCACTGTTCTCGGCTCTCTTCCAACCTCATTGCCGACTTCCACTTCCAGTCTCCAGCGTTGTTCCTCACTCCTCCAGTCCGCCTTGATGACCTTGTGTCTATACCGAATCTTCTTGTCCAGATCAAACGTGCGCGCCGTTTCTTGCAGGTATTCCATGATAGCCTCTCCTCTCGCAATCGGGTTCTGCGCCCTCCATGGGTAGAAGTTGAATCCCAGGGTATGCAGATCCGAGTCGGATCGCACGCCGGGGTATCTGAACTGCGACCATGTTCCACCGAGTTCGTGGCGCGCTTCGAGAACGGCAAATTTGGCTTTGGGGAGCGATTCTTGGATGCGGTAGGCGGAGTTGATACCACTGAGGCCGCTGCCGATTATCAAGACGTCGAAGTACGAGTCGATCATGGTGGGCCGACTGTGTTGACGGTGCTTACTGTGGGGACAGGGTGCCGACGTAGGTACGCGGCGTGGTAAGAAGGTCGATGTGGCAGATACGATTGAGTGTTTGTGGAGTATTTCGCTTAGTTGAGACCAGGAAAACAAAACAAGTCGTGCAAGGCAAAGTCCGACAAAATGTAGGGACTCTGGTATGCAGTCAGTGGTGAGGCTGATGGGCAATCGCAAAGGGGAGCCGGTGCATATCGACGCTTTGTACCAAACTTATTCAATGTCCGAGGTGTCTCCACCCCCATCGTGCGACGCCACAGCTTGCGCGCTCTACCCCACCGCTTACATTTCCGTCCATCACCTAGTTCATTCACGGCCGTCTTTCACCGCCATGCGATTGGAGTGTCGTTGGCACTCGTT